TATATATATATATATATATATATACATACATATATATATATATACACATACGCGTTAACAAACTTGTAACTACACATACGATTACACTTTAGAGAACGATTCTATTATCTTGTAAGAATTACTTATGCTAGGATCTCTGTACAAACTATTAACAAATCCGTAAGAGGAAGCAAAACACTACTGTGTATAAGAACAGAATATTTATAAGAAACTAAAAGAAAAGATATCTTTCACTACTTTCAGCACTACTTTCAACATAATCATTGTAATAGCCACTCTATTTAAGGAATCGTTGAAAAAAAAATATGAGAGAAGAAATGAAACAACGGATTTCGTTATCACAGCTCGAGTTTCGTGCGAATTTTCCTGCTTCCCTGCCCATATTATATAACGAACTGACTTCATGGAGGATATTTATATGACAGTAAAAATATCCTACTGTAAAACAGAATGCTATTGAAATAATCGCGTCAGAAATTATTTTTCTCAATGTTAATTTTTGTGGACGAGAAACGTGTTACTTTAAGTATTTGCTGGAGCTGACTTTATCGCGCGCGTGTGCACGCGTATCATTTATCGACTTTGATTATCGAGCCTTCAATAATCCGCCTATCAAGATATAATCAAAGCGAACGGAGGCCAGTATTAATAAAAATTAAAGTATGAATTATAGAATACGCCTTGAGTTGAATATGCAAAACGCGACGCAAGTTTTACATGTATAAAAAAAATAAAAAGAAAGGAAAAAAATACCATAGAGTCGATAAATGAGCGCTGTTGAACTTCTGCTGAAGAGTTCAAAATTATTGAAGTTTTAAGAGATTTTTATGTACTTGCCCGATTAGAAGACGGAACAATTATTATTAAAAAATAATAGTATATAGTATATAGTGTATGTATGTGTATGTGTGTGTGTGTGTGTGTGTTGAACCTATACACATACGACTCTGGTACCATTTATTTGATTACTCTATCATTATACATACATATATCTTTTATGTCACATATCCTTGCAAGGATTTTCTTTCAAAGTAATTTTCAAATTCATAGGCTCTATAAAATCGCACACGCGCGCGCACATACACACACACACACACACACACACACACACACACACACACACACACACAAATTTACACAATTAAATTTTGTTATACTATAGTCAAATGCTATTGAAACTATACTATTGATATTTCATTTTACAATCTTAATGCAATCTTCAAATTTTACGTATTAAAAATGTTCTGTTAGAGTTTGAGAAATATTGCGTCGTAATGTTAACAGTTATAAAAAATAACGAGGAGTACTATGCAGTCTAACGAATCCACATAACTAAGAATTTGAAAAAAATATATTTGTATCTTTTAAAATCCATAACAACGTATCGCGCAATGTTATCTGAGAAATCCAAATATGGGCTTCGTTTGGCCGAGCTTATTTTCCTCTTCCAGTCCTTTCATAAGAGCTTCGTTTAGCTTGAAACTGATATCCTTTCCAACCTGAAAATCCAGAGTCAAAAACAAATTTGGCAAAATTTGTCTGCCTTTAATCATAATAAATAATAATTAAGACATAAAAACTGTTATCACCTGCAACATCTTAATCAAAGTATTAGGCAACAAGCTGCCGTATCCCAGCTTGACTACAGACGTCATCTTGCCGTTCGGCATCACGGACATAAGGATACTAGCAGTACTGCAAGATTCTTCTTCCGATGTTGGATCTATCACGAAGTTGTCACCAATCTGTTAGAAGAAATATCTTTAATTGCCGAAAATGTACAAAATAATTAATAAAAAGTTACAAAAAAAAAATTGAATCTTTTTATAGAAATACCATAAACAGTAAACGTTTCCTTATTGTTTCTTAGATGAATATATGTATAAAATATATATATAAAAACATCATAATTCATTTCTTTAAAAATGACTAAAGATTATTGCATACCTTGCATATTGTTAGTACCACTGGGTAATTTGTGACGTCTAGTTTAATACAGTCGTAAGGATCGTCTGATACCTGAATATCTGGTTCGTTACCGTCGAGTGTGGCTGTGATCACCCTTGGAATTTCAGTATTATACAACGCCGCTTTCACCGCAGTACCAACAGCGTCGAATAGATTTCCACCGCATTGAAGGATCTGGAAAGGTGAAAAAATGATACAGAATTTTAAATTTTGGGTTTGTTTTTTTCAGCTGAATTTCTTGCACGTTCTTTCCTCTTCTTTTGTCCATATTGAAGAAATAATGCAAAAAATTTAGTTAAATAGAATAGAATATTGTAGTATTGTAATATTGTACCATATTACTTACCAATATTACTTACCAAAATGTCCACGTACATTTTCCAACATTTCTGACGAGGTATTATACACAGCTGCTTTAAATCGAAGGCGTCTGGTGTCTGATAGGCCATGGAAAGGACGTTGCTAATTTCAGTCGCCAAATCGTCCCCACCTTTGCCTTCAAATGCCGGTGTAGCATTAGCAGAACTAGAAAAAATATTAAATTAAATTAAAGTATATTCGATGTTAATCTATAAGCCTAAGGTGTATACATACCAGTCTACGAAAAATTCCAATTTGCCTTCCTCTGGTTTTTCAGCATACGGTGTGTCAATTTCAAGTTTTACGCCAACTAATACATCTGTAATATTGCCTATACGTAATCTCGCTGATCCATGGGTATGCTTCATCAGCTTAGTTTCGATCTCGATAGGACGATACTGATATCTCGATCGACCGTCATTTCTGAGATCAAGCTGAAATTAACAAATCAATTATTATAATATACAGTATGTATCAAAAGTTCCAGAGATTTAATTGTTGGATATAAAAACTATAAGAAAAAAATGTTCTTTGAATAGAGTATTAATTAATTTTTATCTGTAATGAGATTATCAGAAATAAATTAGCAGCACCTGACTGACGATTAATAGATTAACAGCAATAATTAGTGTCCGAAAATAATAAATGCTAGAAAAGCATGCACAGGATCATAAGAAACAATTGCACGTGCACGTAAACACTGTTGAAAATACTCACATCAACCCCGTGAATAATAAATGTCTTCTCGCCCAAACTCAAAGGGATTTCGGCCATCTCACAAAGATTAACTTCATCAATCTAACGTCGAATCTAACTCGGAAACGCAATCATAAAAGTATTTATCAGTACCAGTTGTATTTCTCACTAGAACAAGATGATTGAGGATGACATAACCTCATTTAAATTGAAAAATAAATAAAATCACCTATACACTAGCGCCACACTAGTACATCCAGTTTCAATTTGGGAACTATTATATACATATAGCCACTGGCGATAAAATTAATAACGTGATTAACAAAATCCATGATCTCGTAAAAAAAAAAAACAATTTTGATAGCAACTTAATATTAAAAAAATACAGATTTATTATTTAACATATTTTTTAAACTAAGTTTTTTGAGTATCTAAAAATGATTCTGAAAACATCCTGAAAAAATATTTTTATTCGAATATAGGTGCAGTGTTTGTAAAATTCTTCAAGACGATTCGTTCTTGCCATTGTTTCTTTGTGAATCTAAATACATAAATAATATCGAAATAAATTATACCGAAAAATCTTACAAGAATTTTACAGCAATTGCAAAACTGTTTTCTCTGTTGAACGTAATTAGATATTATCCTCTTTTTGACTTTAGCAAACTGACATTATTTGTCATTACGTTAATGTCAAGCGACAATAAATAATATCAGCTTGTATCTTTCTTTTCTTTTTTTTAATACAACACACTATGCAAAATCAAAAGTACGTTATAAAAATTAATTACTCCCGGAAAAAAATATTTTATACATAATTATACAGT